TTTCCTGCAGACCTGCCGGGCATGCCACCAGATAGGGATATTGATTTTGGTATTGACCTGGTACCGGGCACTCAGCCCATTTTTATTCCGTCGTATCGCATGACACCAGCGGAGTTGAAGGATTTAAAAAAGCAGCTTCATGAACTCCTCGATAAGGGGTTCATTTATCTTAGTGTATCATCTTGGGGTGCGCCGGTTCTATTTGTAAAGAAGAAGGATGTCACTATGAGGATGTGCATTGATTATAAGCAATTGAACAAGGTAACAATTAAGAACAAGTATCCTTTGCCTCCCATTGATGATTTATTTGACCAGCTTCAGGGATCGAGAGTGTTCTCCAAGATTGATCTCCGTTCAGGTTATCACCAGTTAAAGATCAGGGACTCGGATATTGTCACACCCCTTTTTAACCAACTCACTAAATCTCTTAAATTAATAAAAATATTTGTAAAGCTCAAAAAGTTTTCAATTATGAAAATGACAAAATTGTGTTCCAAAGAAAATAACTCAGACACCTGACATTGGTTTCGGTGTGCCAGGTCACCGTTTTTAAAAATGATTTTCCTTTTAAAATACTTTGGACTCCAAACTAAGTCTGCACCAGAGATTCGGGTAAGGGAGTTCATTTGACTCGGGGAGAAGGTGTTAGGCACTCCCCAAGTCCCGTAACTAGTACGGTTGCATACTTGATCTAATTGGCTTTTAAAATATTCAAATCGAGATAAAAACAAACACAGAAAATAAAAACAAACACACAAGAGGCTCGAGGTCGTTCCTGCCTAATAAAACGAAAATAAAAATAAAAATAAAAATACCATGAGTTCCACTTTAGGCCTCCAAATAAAAGTACTTCAGGGCATACCCCGAATAAATTATATACAAATTACGCGGGGCATTCTCCGGATAAATTTAACTAAGGAAACGACCTCTCGCCTCGAAACTAACAAAAATTCTAAGGTTTGCCTACCCAAGTGTGGTCAGCCTAAACATGCTACTAACGTAAGCGATAAATAAAAGTAATAAAATATTTCAAATTCAAACTGTCATTTACGTTTAAGCCCGGATCATTTTATCTAATCCTTTAGTTCATAATTTTTAAAGCAATTCAAACTCAATCCCACAACCCATTTCACAACAAATTCCGCTAAACCATAATCTCATGTCCAATATACTCCACACAAAAACTTACAAACAACCGACACTACAACTCCAATTGTTTTTTTTGAACAATGCTTTGGGGAAAAGTGGAGAAGACCATGAATAGTGATTCGATCACTATTCATCAGCCATACCTCTTTCATCCAGCGAAGGATCACTACAAAATTAGTCTTAAAAGAACACATTTCTCATCACAAACAACCTCCTTTTATTTTTTCACTGATTTCTTTATCAAGAAGTTACAGATCTTAATTCTAGTTTTATTCCTGTAGCAACATCTCTCTTGGTAAATTATCTGGCAGATATTCGATCTTGATTTTGGCTACTATTAATGTAGCAGCAAGTCTCGTCAGTGTTTTACAACTTTCTCACAAAGTATCCAGATTTTGAAGAAATCTTTGTAGTATTAGAATCGTCCTTAGTGTTCTGGGTTGTTTTAGGGTAGACTGTCACACAGTGCTGCAATGGCCAGTGGCCAGCCACCCTCTCAAGTTGGGCCACCTCCACAACCACCCCTCATCATCACCCAACTTTCTAATGGCACAAAACCTATGGACTATGCAAATGCTGTAAAAGCTACGAATAGCACTTCGACAATGCAAGAACGTGCAGCAGTAGTTGAGCCAATTCCTCCAAGACAAGCCCATATTTTTCAAGGACAACCAACTGTACGATTTTCTGAAGCAGAAGTTGAACGCATGAATTTAATGGAAGTTTTGCAACAGGCTGTTGTTTGCAAATTTTCATACAGATGGCCGGATATCAATGAAATACGTCGCATTATTCCTTTACAGTGTGGTATCAAAGCTGAATGCAACATTGGATATCTTCGTGATAGGCACATTTTGATTCGTTTTTCATTATGGAAAGATTATGTAGACTTCTCATCAAAAGGTGTGTATTATGTAAAGGATAATCTTGGAAATGAATATCAATTAAGAACCTTGATTTATGATGCTAAATTCAAAGTTGACGAAGAGACTCCTAAGGTAATGGCGTGGATCTCTTTCCCTAATCTGCTGCCTACCTATTTTGTAAGAGAATGCTTGTTCGCACTAGCTTCTGCAGTCGGGATACCCCTCCAGTTGGACTTGGCTACTCTAAAGAAAACAAGACCTAGTTGTGCTCGAGTGAATGTTTTGGTGGACCTGCTAACAGACATGCCTAAGAAGGTTCGATTAGACATTGTTAACGATCCTACTGGAGATATTAGAACTGAGTGGGTGACTATCAAATATGACTATCTACCCAAGTATTGTAAGGAATGTAAGCTTTAGGGCCATGATGTGTTCGAATGCTTGAAAATTAATCCTGAACTAATGGCCAGCAGAAATAATGAGAAGAAGGCTTCAACTGATGTTGTAGTGCAGCCCAACAAGGACAAGAAAACAAACAATGCTCCAATAATGGTACTTAAAAGTGGAAAAGTTGTTGGAAATCAAGTTGCTCAATGGAAGGAGGTCAAAGATAGGAGAATGCAAGCAAAAGAGAAACAGGCAGCAGCTTTAGCAAATACTGGACAAGAAATCGTGCCTATAAACAATCAAAAAGGAACTACACAGCAAGTTCAGACAACAAACAGTTTTGCATGTTTAGAAGTGGAAAACAGTGAAGAACTTTATACAAATCAGTTCATTGATAGTGTTCTCCGAGTTGCGGAGAATGAGTCAAAAGATATGCATTTTGATTTTTCCACTAGACAAATGGTACAAAAGGTAAATTCACCTAGTTCATCTAGGAGACCAATAGCTATGTCAGAACCAAAGAAACTGAACCATGCAGCAACTACTTTCAATCCTACAACAATAAGAAATCAGGCAGCAAACAGGGAATCAACAGCAGATTGTGGTCAACAAGATTTGGGAAATGAGCAACATTTTGTCAATTACTCAACTGCCCAATGGGTGCAAGAAGCATTCAAAAATAATGTAGTTCAGGCCATTAACTCATGTCAAGACATTCCTTCACAGGACACCAAAGTTGAACAACTTTTAGCAAACAATAAAGAGAATGAATTAATTGAAGATTCAGATTTTGAGAAATTCAGGAACAATGAAAGAGATAAATGCGCAGGAGGGAGATTATGGATTAACCAAACATAGGAAATCTTAACAGATGGGCAGATTCCAGATACAATGCATAGTGAAAAAGAATTTGGAGGAAATGAAGTGGAAGATGAGAATCAAAGTTTTAATTGTAATGCCAATGCAATGAATAGTCATACCATAAGTGAATGCACAAATGCAGCAGAAGAAAAGACAAAAGAGGGGAACATCAATATTTTAGATCCAGGAGGGACTTCACATAATGATTTTCGTAATGTCTTGAAGGAAGCTGAAAATAAAGACAACAACCAACAGGAAAAGTCAGACAAGAATCAAGAGAAGTCAGTGCAATTCTATGCGAGAAGTTTTATACAATTGAGCACAGGGAAGGATGTAGCAGGAAATGTTGTTCCATCGAAAAATACACAGCTGTTGAAAAATGAACTTGAAGAAAAAGATGTTGAACTTATCAATCAGGAAAATGATGTTGAATTTACCAATCAGGCATACGATGTTGTGACATCAAAAGAAGCAATAGAAGCACATGACCAAGTTGGTCACGCAGAACTTAAAGGTAGAGACATGGATGAGGAATACACTTCACAAAATTTCATTAATGTTGCCAAGTAGGGTGATCTGTCACCAAGGCTTATTGATAGAGTAAAATCTAAAACAAAGGGAAAAAAGAAACAGTCAAAACAGACATCTACTGTCCCAGCCAATGGAGTACAAACAAGAAGAACACTGTCCAAACCCAAAATCATTTAATGGATGCAATTATATGGAATATCAGGTCAGTAAATACAATGCAAGCATTTGAAAGATTGGTTACAATGCACAGAAAACATCACTTTGAGTTCATAGGAATCCTTGAGACTATGCAACAGTCAAACAAAATGGAGAGGTATAGAGCAAGAATTGGGTTGGCACAGGCTGTGGTGAATGTATCAAACAAGATTTGGGCTTTTATTGATGAAATATTTGAGGTTACTATTTGAATAACATGACTCAACAACTGACTTTGAGATGAACGAACACTGAAACGCATGTTGAGCTCATCCTTACTCTAGTTTATGCCAAATGTGATCGCATTGAAAGAATTGAACTATGGGATACTTTGTATGCAATGGCATCAGATATGACAGTACCATGGCTAGTTGGAGGCGACTTTAATATGATATGGGATGAGGAAGAAAAATTTGGAGGCTTACCAGTTTCTCTCATTGAAGTAGATGACTTTAGGCACTGCATCAATACCTGCAACTTGACAGACTTGGGATTTAAAGGAATCATATTTACATGGTGGAATGGAAGATCAGAGGAAGACTATATTTTTAAAAGATTGGATAGATGTTTGGGCAATCATGAATTGCAACAGACTTTTCCTGGATTGGAGGTAACTCACCTGTCCAAAATTGGGTCTGATCATTGCCCAATGCTGCTGAAATGTGATATAGAAACTCCTCCAATTAAAAAGTCATTTAGATTTCTTAACTTCTGGACTAAGCATGAAACCTTCAAAGATTTAGTAAAGGAGAATTGGAATGCTGGTTTTAGTGCTAACCCTTTCTGCATTTTTAACTACAAGTTAAAGAATCTTAAGGAAGCACTATCTATCTGGAGCAGAGCTACATATGGGGATATATTCCAGAAGATTTCAAGCCTTGAGGAGGTAGTCCTGGTTCATGAAAAACATTTTGAAGTCAATCCTACACAGATGAATTTACAAAGATTACAACAGGTACAAGCTGATAATATCTTGCATTAGAGGAAGAATTTTGGAGACAAAAAGCTGGCATGTTATGGTTCAAAGATGGCGATAGAAACACTAAATTCTTCCATGCTCAAGTTAATGGGAGAAGGAAGAGACTGAAATTATCAAGGATCCAGAATAGCCTTGGTAACTGGATTGAAGAAGATCACTTAATAGCAGAAGAAACAATAAGTTTCTACAAGGATCAATTTACTGAGAGTGTAGTCCCAAAAGATTTTGATATTCTAAATCATGTGCCTTCAATGGTAGATAGGGATCAGCATGAAAGATTGACGGTATTGCCTTCCAATGAAAAATTGAAGAGAGCAGTTATGGGGTTGAATGAGGACTCAGCTGGTGGACCAGATGGTTTCACTGGAGCATTTTACCAAACATGCTGGGAAATTATTGAAGAAGATGTTGTCCAAATGGTCAAGGCTTTCTTTTGCGGTCAGCGGCTGCCAAAGAGTGTTACGCACACAAACCTAATTTTATTACCAAAGAAAAAAGAAGTTATGACCTTTGCAGACATGAGACCAATCAGTCTTAGTAACTTTGTTAACAAGATTTTCTCTAGGGTTATTCATGAGAGGTTGGTTGAATTACCACCAAACATAATCTCAGAGGAACAGACGGGTTTTATGAAGGGCAGGAGCATAGTTGAGAACGTACTATTAACTCAAGAAATCATTACGGATATCAGGTTGAGAACAAAAGCAGGTCCTAACATTGTGATTAAGCTTGATATGGAAAAAGCTTACGACAGGCTATCATGGCTATTCCTGACCAAAATAGTAAGGAAAATGGGATTTCCTGAAGCTTTTATTGGCTTGATCTTTGATTTGATTGGGAATAATTGGTACTCTGTGCTTATAAATGGTCAGCCTAATGGTTTCTTGAAATCATCGAGGGGATTTAAACAGGGTGACCCTTTGTCACCAACTCTATTTATTCTAGCAGCAGAAGCACTTTCGTGGGGTTTGAATTCACTACACACTAACCTGTATTTCTGTGGATTTGGAATGCCAAAATGGAGCCCAAAAATAAATCATCTATCATACGCTGATGATACAATCATTTTTTGCTCATCTGATGAAACATCGTTGAGACTTGTCATGGAGGTTCTGCAAGCTTATGAATCATCATCTGGTCAACTGGCGAACAAAACCAAGTCAGCCACATACATGCATCATTTAACGGATAATGAGGTGATTAACAAGGTGGAAAGGATTACAGGTATACAAAGACAAGGTTTCCCTATGACCTATCTTGGATGTCCTATATTTTATGCAAGAAGAAAGGGAGACTATTACCAAGGATTAATCACTAAGGTTATGGACAAACTACAGTCATGGAAAGGCAAACTTCTGTCTGTAGGAGGCAGAGCTGTTTTAATCGCAAATGTCCTGCAGAGTATCCCAATTCATATGTTATCAGTAGTCAATCCTCCAAATTATGTGATCAACAAATTACATAACATTTTTGCCAACTTTTTGTGGAGCAGCAATGTCGGAGGAAGCACTAGATACTGGGCGTCTTGGACTAACCTGTGTATGCTTTTTGACGAGGGAGGCATAGGTTTCAGGTCCCTGTATGACATATCGAAGGCTCTTTTCTACAAATTGTGGTGGAATTTCAGGACTAAGCCCACTTTATGGAGTGCATTTATTTGTCAAAAGTACTGCAAGAAACTAAATGCAGTAATTGTACCTTGGAAATGTGGATCACGAGTGTGGAGAAAAATGCTAGAATTTAGGGATTTGATTGAGCATCAAATCTACTGGAAACTGAGAATGGGATCAGCTCAATTCTGGTTCGATAATTGGACTGAGATGGGAGCCTTATATTTTCAGGTGCCTACAGAGTTTGGTATCGATGAGGATATTCATAATGTCAACGATCTGGTTGAAAATGGTATGTGGAATGTGGATAAAAGTTTTGAGAGCCTACCTGAAGATTTGGCAAACCACATTGTGCAGAATATTAGACCACCAACTGAAAGTTCACAGTTAGATACTCCTTTCTGGATGCTTGAAACAAGGGGACATTTTACAGTAAAATCTGCATGGAATTACCTGAGAAGAAGGGACAACCCAAAATTAGCTTACAAGATGATATGGGTAAAAGGTTTACCTTTCAAGATATCATTTTTCCTGTGGAAGGTGTGGAAAGCAAAATTGCCACTTGATGATTTATTGCGTAAAATAGGATACTCCATGCCATCTAAATGTTGGTGCTGCGCTGATCCTAAAGAGGAGTCTTTAGTACATTTGTTTTTCACATCAAATGCAGCTAGAAGTGTTTGGAGTTACTTCCTGAGGAGAGCAGGAATTGCATTAGATGGGTTGTCATTACATCAAGCAATTACAAAGTGTTGGACAACACCAGTAGTACCAAGATTGAAGCCAGTTTTACAAGCTTTACCTGCATGCATTGTATGGGAACTTTGGAAGAGGAGAAACAGTTTGAAATATGGAGAAGCAGTATCAGTGAGCAGAGTTATTTACCAGGTGTCATCTACTTTGCAAGCACTAGTCCAAATGAAAAAGCCAAGACTACATGTGCCTCATAAGTGGCTGGACTTACTGACAATGATGGAGCAATACACACCTCGAATGAAATATGATAAAGTGTTATGGGAATTTCCTTCAAGAGGATGGATCAAAGTGAATACGGATGGAGCATGTAGAGGGAACCCAGGGAGGAGTTCAATTGGTTTCTGCATAAGGGATGAGGCAGGTGATTTGATATATGCAGAAGGAAGAGAGATTTCTGAAGGAACCAATAATGAATCAGAAGTGGTAGCTATTGTGGAGGCTTTGAGGATGTGCAAAATTTTTAATTATGGCTGGATATGGCTGCAGACAGATTCTCTGCTATTAAAGAACATTATAGAGGAATCATGGAAGCCTCCATGGTATATTACTGAACATGTAGAGGAAATGTTAAGATTGAAGGAACAAAGTAATATCAAGGTCACACACATTTTCAGAGAAGGGAATACATTAGCAGACCATCTTGCCAATTACGCCCTCGATGAAGGAAATACTGAGTGCCATGGTTTCTGGGATCTGAACTCAAAGGAAGGAGGATTATTAACGAAGATAAGATGCAATGTCCTTACATAAGAGTGAAAGTTGCAAGGAACTAGGAGGAAAAGAGGATTCGATTCAATACCATACTCGAATCATTATTGAGGAGAGGTTGGTAAGAGATTTTTCAGCTAACATTGTTTACTATCTTGCAGGTACACATTATGAGTTAAAGTCCTTTGTTGCGGATTCAAAGTTTGTTATTTTCGGACAAATAACTGCAGTAATAGTGGGCACACTTGTCTCTAAAGCTGTGCTCGAGCAGAGAGACATCGAGGTTTATTCTCCATCTACCCGAGAAGCATTACACAAAACAAGAGAAGTTTGTCTCCATGGGAAGATTCCAAGACGCCTGGACCAGCAGCTCTTTTGCATTGACAATTATTTAATCAGTTGGGAAGACAAAAGATTCATTCTATTGTGTTGTCCAATGATGTTTGGGCAAGATTAAAGGAGCTGGAACGGAACTCCAAATGCTCGAACACGCTTATTTGTGGTCTCCAATGGCCTGTCTTTAGTTTAGCACGTTTTTTGCAATCAATTCGAGGTCAAGGGGACATAATTGGAACACACAACAGGCAACATGGAGGAATACATGTAATTCAAGGCGTGGTCCACGTGAATGGGAATCTGCAAAGCATATGCAGTCATTGTTGTTTAATGCAAGCATGCTCATTGGGACCTATAAGGAAAGATTCCATGGGAATCTGCATTGGTACCATTTCTTGGACTACGATGGAAGATTCACGAGAAGGAGCAGCATGCCATTGTTGGGCACGCTCATCACGAGAAAAAGCACGCTATATTTTCTCCAATGGCCAGTCAAATTAGAGATCACATGCTTATTGGAATGCACAATGGGAATCTGCAGACTTTTGAACTTCATATGCATGGAACGCAGGAGAAGGGATTACAAATGCAAAGCTGGAAAAAGGCTATGTACGTAAACATATGATGCATTGGAATTGGGCTAAAGAGACACAAATTTGACATGCACTTAACTGGGCAATTACTGGTTCATCATTGGGCTTCAGTATGACCTGGGACATGAGCATTGCAGTATGGAAATGATGGATTATGGGCTACTTTTTAATCTTGATATATCGAGATTCATTCTCTATAGTAGATCAAATGTGATATCAATGTTGAGTTCTTTACTCAATATTGATAATAGGTGCTATGTACTTATCAAGTTTTATTATTTGCATTATGTTAGACATCCGGACAAATTGTTTTTGTTCTGCTTTTGTATTTGATTTTGATATATTTATAAAAAACTAACCCTAGGAGCTTGCCTAGTGGATTGACAAAAAAAAAACAACTCCAATTGAATAGCTCAAATAAATGTTAATCCCAAAGAGGAACAATTAAAGAGGAGTGTGATAAACATGATAAATATACTGAAGCTCAACTAAACTAAATCTAAAACTATTTGCAAACTCTAAAAGGTAATTAATCTTATGAAACTAGATCTATTACTAATTCTATTCAATTGTGTTAATTAACTAACCAATTTGCACCAAAGACTTGAGGTTCTAAAAGTTGAAATTAAAATCAAAGGCTCAATTAATGTAGAAATCAAACCAAGAGAAAATGACCCACATGAGCTAATATTGTATTTCAACAATCACACACACACACACACACATATATATATATATATCACAAGGAGAAAATAGAAAGAACAGGGGCAGGGATGAGAGTAGACCTGCTTGTAATTAGTTTGGTTGAAGGTGCTCGAACTGCGATTGAACCTCGGACGAAACTGAAATGGAGCTCCTTGCACAACGACCTCCGGTGACCTCGAATCTGCGATTGGAACTTGAAATGGAATGAACTGAACTCTAACAGCTGATTTCAATCAAGGATAGCAATTGCAAGGAGAAGAACAAAGCAGTTTTGCTTGTGAGGTCAACTAAAAATGAACTGTAGCATGCGATTAGGGGTCGCTGGTTGTCGTTTGGTTGTTGCTGTGAGAGCCCGCGACAGCTCCTCTCTAGGGTTTTGGTGGCTACTCCGGCGAGGGCAACGAGGAGCAGGTAGTAAAGGTGAAGGGTTTGTGTGTTGTCGTGTTTTTCGGTGAGTACGTCGCTGGTTCTGTTGAGAGGAGGAGTTGAGGAATCGTTTAGGGCAAAGTGAAGAAGTTCTAGGGTTCAGGGGGGTTTGGCCGGGACTGCTGGAGGTGATGGTGGGCTGCAGGCTAGCGGGCGACAACTGGTTAGCGTGGGAGTTGGGTGCTAGGGTTTTTTAGAGTTGTATCTCTCATGGCTGCTCCCTTTTGTGTAGAAGATGATGTCTTGGTTAGGAAGATCAAGGGTGTTCTATTGTTTAGGGCTTTTTTGTGTGTTTTTCATGATCAAAATGGCTGAAGGCTCCAAATCTTAGAGTGTCTAGTTTTATTAGGATTTTAGGGTTATGTTAGTAGGTATTGGGCCTAGAATTATGGGCTAGATCCGAATTGGCCAAATTTGGCCAAATATACCTTTAAAAGTGGCCCTTTAATTCTAGTAGACTAAACATATTAGCTCCTAAAATAACAACTATAAAATTATGAACTCATTTCCAATTAATTAAAGTAAAATTAAAATTAAAAGTGAAACTATTTTATATCAATTAGCTAAATAAATAAATAAATAAATATTTTTGTAATTTTCAATTTTGTTTGATAAAATAAAGTAAAAGAGTTAAAACTAATTGAAATAACGATATTAGGCCTAAACTAAGTATTTAAATGCTAAAATATGTAAAATCTTGGGGAGGGTCAAAAATCACATGTCTACAGCTGCCCCTCTTTGACTGGAAATACGGAGTATTTTCAGACAAAGAACGACTAGACAGGTTTTTTGACCCGGCCCTTATTTAGGGAGACCAAAAACTAAGAGGAAGGAGAATGTGACCGAGTCCTGGTATCTGAGCTGCCTACATATCCTTGGCTATAAAGGAATCAGGCAACGTGTAGTTCAGAAGTAGGAGCAGTAATGGAGTTTACTGAGGTCGAGAGCCGATTGAGGTGCCGTTCCATCGAGGTTCCGGTCCGCAATTCTGTTATTACATCAAATTCAAAAATGAAAAAGACTAACTAAGCCTTCCAACTATGAGTTATAAGATTCCTATCTATAAGTCTTCTGAAGCTTGATCTTGAGTCTTGACTAGTTCTTCATGCAGACTTTAGATTTGAACCTTGGCACTTGCTAGCTGCAAGTGCTAGTTCATTCTTCTTTAGCTTTTTCGGATCAAGACCGGACATGTAGCGCTCGTGACTTCAACCACGTCTTGAGCAGTTCACATCTTTTTCCTGCTTCTGCATTTTGGATTCACTTCTTTTTTCTTTTCTCTTTTTTTTCTGGATTAAGACTACTTCTGCTGCTCATCTCGGACTATTGACTCGCATTCTTGCCGCGAGTTTTTGTTACTTCTAACTTGAATTGAATTCTGAAATGACTTCCCTTATTCTCTAGATGGGCGCCTGATTGCTAAAACTTGAATTGTATTCCCTTGTTTTCCAGGTGGGCGCCTGATTTTCAAAACTTGAACTGTACTCCGAAATGAATTCCCTCATTCTCCAGGTGGGTTCCTGCAATTAAAACAACAAAACAAACAAAATTTTATGCCCCAATTTACACTAGAAAGATTTGTGAGTTGTTAGTAAAACTGTAAATCACCTATGCTATTGATGCAATGATGAGAGTAAAACTAAAGACTTGACTGGGATGTGCGTCTCCTATGAATCAAACCAAGAATATTTGACTAGCAAGTGCGTCTTCTAAGAATAGAACCTGAATGACCCAAACTAGGAAGTGCGTCTCCTGGGGATGAAACTTGAATGAACCAAAACTAGGAAGTGCTTCTCCTAAAACAAACATAATTTGAAAACCTAGACTAGGAAGTGCGGCTCCTAGAGGTGAAACTTCAATGACTTAAACTAGGAAGTGCGTCTCCTAGAAATGAACTTAAATGACCAAAAACTAGAAAGTGCATCTCCTAGGGGTGAAACTTCAATGACTCAAATGAGGAAGTGCGTCTCCTAGGAATGAACTTAAATGACCCAAAACTAGGAAGTGCGTCTCCTAGGGGTGAAACTTGAATGACTCAAACTAGGAAGTGCATCTCCTAGGAATGAACTTAAATGACCCAAAACTAGGAAGTGCGTCTCCTAGGGGTGAAACTTGAATGACTCAAACTAGGAAGTGCATCTCCTAGGAATGAACTTAAATGACCCAAAACTACGAAGTGCGTCTCCTAGGAATAAACTTAAATGACCCAAAACTACGAAGTGCGTCTCCTAGGGGTAAAATCTCAATTTATGAAGTACGTTTCCTAAAAGAAAATATAACCTAAAGGACCCAGACTAGGAAGTGCGTCTCCTAGGGGGTAAAATTTCAATGACTCAAGCTAGGAAGTGCGTCTCCTAGGAATAAACTTAAATGACCCAAAACTAGGAAGTGCGTCTCCTAGGGGTGAAACTCAAATTAGGAAGTGCGTCTCCTAGGAGTGAAACTCAATTTAGGAAGTGCGTCTCTTAAAATAAAAATATAACCTGAAAGACCCAGACTAGGAAGTGCGTCTCCTAGGGGTGAAACTTCAATGACTAAAACTAGGAAGTGTGTCTCCTAGGAATGAATTTAAATGACCAAAGCTAGGAAGTGCATCTCCTATGGATGAATTTAAATGACCAACATTAGGAAGTGCGTCTCCTAAAAATAAAAATATAACTTGAAATACCTAGACTAGGAAGTGCATCTCCTAGGGGTAAAATCTCAATTTAGGAAGTGCGTATCCTAAAACAAAATATAACTTGAAAGGCCTAGACTAGGAAGTGCTTCTCCTAGGGGTGATGTGTGATCTTCTCAATAGCCTTTGTGCAAGCAGAATTGGGGCATTACACCTGAAAAATTCAAGCTTTGTTATGAACATAGCCTTCATCCTTTTTTTAGACAAAGAAAACTTGTGAGTTTAAAACACGGTGGTTAGTTTGTGGCCTTGACCTTGAAGGCGGCTTCTTCTGTACTTGACAAGATAACTTTGATTTCAACTTAGAAGACCTTGCCTGTTATCGGCTACCCATTTTCTTTCAACCCTTATCACAGAAAATACCTCTTGCTCCATTCGATCCCAATATCTTCTATCTATTGCATTTTGCTCATGAATTGACATTTACCGAACCTTTGCATTTCACATGAATCCCAAAGCATATTAATTGTTATCAACTCAGTGTGCATACTGTTCTTTCCTGACTTATGCCACTTTGATGTGCTAGCTAGAATCCGCTTTGTGCAATTGGAAAGCTGGCAACAGATTTTGAAGTCATTTCTTTACTTGTTCTGACAAAACAGACTCCAGAAGGGACTCAAACAAAACAAGAAGAACAGAGTTAAGGGGACAACAGAAAGAGATGACATCTAACAAGAAAATCACCGAGTAGAAACTTGTCAGATATAGATACCAACTCTAATGATCGTGACATGCATTTTGGACTAAAGTGGCCTATTTGTTAAGCAAGCCTAATGTTCAACTCTTGTTGTGCCTCTAAGCTGTGAAACTGGGATTCAACACTCCAATTGTCCCATTTGATCCATAATCCTCAGTCGACTTGTAGTGCCCTGAAGGATCTTCACCATCAAGCCTTTCTTATTTTGCTCTTTTTCTCAACACATCGTCGCCTTACGGTGCCCATGAGGGTTCTCACCTATAAGAATCTCTCATTTATCATTTTCTCTCTTTGCGATGAGAACAAGGTATTACCCATGATGTAGGAAGATCATACTTTCACCACACACTTGATTTGGCATCCCCAAAGATTGGTCGGAAGGTCTTTCTTTGGACCGTAATGT